GCGGGCTCCCGCGAGGGCCTGCGTGCGCCCCGGGCGGGGTCGGCGGGGCTGACGTGCGCCCCGTGTGTGCGTGCGCAGGGACACGCGTGCCGGCCCCTAGAGCCAGCCAGTCTGCTGGAAATCCCGCCGGGTTGAAGCATCCGGGGCGGGAGCGTGCTCCTGTTAGCTGAGCGGTGGCCCGGGGATCCCCTGCGCCAATGCAGACACGCGGGGTCCTGGGCCTCCTGCTCCGCCTCGCCGCTGGAAACAACCGCTCCGCCCCGGAGTTGATGTGGCGAGTGGCGCTGGACCAGCATCTAGCTTGGGTGGACGAGATGACCCCCGACCCCCTTCCCCAGCAAAGCCCGCGCTGGACTTTAAATCAGGCTCTCGGGCCTGGCTGTGGACAGTCCCAGGCCCGGCTCGGGGACCCGGCGCCCAGGCGGCGCGGATACAAAGCAGCCGGCACGACTGTTGCTCCTCGGCTCCCGACACAGTGTATCCGGCGCCACCGACCCTTGCTCACGCTGCTCCAGGCTCACAGAGCCTTGCGGTGGCGAAGCGCCGGGAAAACACCTGTGCACCGAGTTTGCACTTCAGATTAGCAGCTTTCCCCGGTAACGAAGCTGCCAGCAGCCATTTTCGGAGCATTTGAGAAGTGAAAAAAGCAAAATGCGTTTTGCAAGAACGTCTTCTGGATATCAAGGCGCGCAGGAGGTGCAGCAGGTTCCGGCCAGCGAAACTGCGTCCATCCGGGCTCTCCCTCCCCGCAGAGCTCGGTTAAAGTGTCTGCAGTCACCCCGCCAGGCATAAACTGGGGTCTCCACCACCACTGAGTGTCAATGGCATCCTGCATGAGGCCCACCCCAAGCTGACTTTAAGAATTAATGAATTCGTGGCTGAATAAAAGTTCTGCACATCCTTTGCCTTCAGTCAATGTTCTCCAAGACTTGAGGCGTCTAGCGCGCCGGGTAGAGGAGGCTCCGGACGACAGACACAGGACGCTTGGTTCACAACCAGCCGCGGCACAAATTAAAGGAGTAGGCGACTCGGGCCGTGCGAAGAGGCAGTCAGGACAGACCGCTGGAAAGAGTCGCAGCTTAAAATGGGAAAGTGACAACTGGTGTTCCAGTGGAGGTGGGGCGTTGACAAAGAGGGGAGCTTATGGGAGCGGGGAGTGCAGACAGGGTGCCCTGGGCCTGCAGGATGCTCTGGTCTGGTTGAAAATGTGACGAGTTGCTCCTAAACCCCTTGAGGCCTTGGCGAGTGGAGGACGGATGCTAGGACTCTCCCCAGTCCTATGAGCTGCTCCACGGCTGTGGGGACTTTGAGTCACTTACTAACTGTGCGACCATGCACAACAGGCCCGACATCTCAGCTTCCCAACCTGGCCATCCCCATCCCGCACACCAGGGCCCCAGCCCACTCGGAAAGGTTTGGGCAGCGAAAGCCCCTGAGTCACCTACAAGTACAATGAGGCAGAGTTTGGGAGGACGACCTCGGGGACACAAGTGGCTTTTGGGGAAGATGGGACTCTGAAACCTCACAAGATCTAGGAGCAGATGACACGCGCTGAGTCAGTGAAGCCCAAGTGTGATTCTGAGACCAAATATCCAAGGTGCTCCCTCACCCCAGCACCTACCTCCCTGCCAGCCTCCCTTTCAGGACCCTGAGCCTGAGGCGAGTTCCCCACGCCCCACCTACCTTCTGGGACTCCCCTACGTACCAATTTCAGATTAGTCGCTTGAGCACCCTTTGAGTCACTTACTAACTGTGCAGCCATGCACAACAGGCCCGACATCTCAGCTTCAACCTTAGGGGGTTGTCGTGAGTTTAAAATGGATTGAATAACAAGTAAGCACTCAGAAAACAGTAAAGAAATCAACTGGGTACGTGGAAGGACTCAGACCCTACAGTCAACCAGTCCCCACCACAGTCCTGAGGGAAGAGCTGAGCCAAGGCAGCTTGTCCTACCCAGCTTACCGGCCCTACTCTAGCCCCACCCCCACTCTGGCTGGGGGAGGGCACCTGACCTGAGACTGGCCAATCAGGTCCTCTCTTGTAAATTTGAACTAAGAAACCCAAATCAGGTCTAACAGTTTTTCCTTGGGGGAATGACCCTTTTCCCTCTCTCAGTCCACAAGCCTCCATGGAGCTGACTCCATCCCTGACTCCACGGCCATACTTGGGGGTGGCCTGTGGCTCAGCCTGATCAATCAGAACACTGCACTCTCCTGGCCACCGGGATGGACCAATGAGATGTGGTCAGACTTCCTGGACTATTGAAATAAAGACTTTTAAAAGTGAATCCAACCCAAAAAAGAGAGATGGACACCAGGTCCTGGGGACATCATCTGGATCCAGCCAGGCCTCAGGCTGTCCTGTGCTCTCCAGCTGTCTAAGCTGAAAATTCCATTATTGCTTAGTCCACTTGGGAATAGGTCACTTCCAGGTGCTAATTCAGTCCTGCTCCCTCCTTCAAGAAGAATGATGTACAACATCCAGAGAAAATGAGATTTATCTTTTATTTTTAATACTAGAATGGTTGACTGGTGTAAAATATTTCATTTTAGGCAAGTTTATTATATCTAACTTCCAGCCACAGGCCTCCTACCATATAAATATATAGTTATTGACCAAGAATCTATGTTGAAACACTTCCATGCTTCTCTTTTCAGGACCAGATGTACCTCAACATGATTTCTTAATATTATCTTTGCCAAGGAACCAGAACTCGAAGATAAGGTCTATGAAAATAGAAACGAAAGATGTAATTTATGTAAATTTTTAAAGAAAAAAATATTCTACTTGTAACCAGCATCCATGAATTGGAGTGTAAAGCTGAACTGTCATAAAACCTAACCTTTCTGACCATTTTCCAGACTAGAGGGTAGGTAGGAGGAGTTGAGACTGAGGATGTGTGGTCAAGAATCTCAGGCCAGGCTCTCCATTGTGCCCTGACACCCATCATCCAGGGAAGGACCTGGCCAGGCCTCCAGGTTTTGAGTGACAGAGCAGTAATCAGAGTAATCACCTGGGGAAACAGGATGGAAACTATCCCAAGGTAAGCGTAATAAAAAATTTTCTCCTGCAGATCCAAAAACATGAGGTGCCCTAGATCTAAAATAGTTCCAAGAAATTTCAACATCTATCCATGTTTAGTGTGTGTGTGTGTGTGTGTGTGTGTGTGTGTGTGTATGAGATATTGGAAAGAAATGCATTAAGTATTAGTTAAAATTGTGTTGCAATTTATGGGACTAAGTGATTTTGTTCGTTTGGCCCTTTCTATATTTCCCAAACATTCCTTAATGAGGATATAATAACTTTGCTATAAAAAGAGAGAGCTTTTAATTTTTAAGAAAGCCAACTGAGGTCGATTGGGAGAGGTCGTGTAAACTGATGGAGTCCCGGAAAGCCATTAGGCAATGTAATAGACTCATAAACTGACTTCCTCTGACCTGTTCCTGGGAACCTACGCTAAGGCAATGACCCCAAGTGTGAGGAATGCTAGCTTCAGGGAGGTGTATAGCAAGCAGCCCAGGATGGAATACAGCCTGATTTCCAGCTTGAGGGGATTCAAGCACATCCCCTCTATGGATTCAAAGCCTTAAGGAAAGAAGGTTTTAAAAAAAGACTTTCTGTGGGGAAATATTTCTGTTACAATGCTAATTTAGGGCAATCATATATTCAGTATTAATGCAACCACAACATTGAAAACTAAGAAGACAAACTTTAGTAGACAGAATGATGACTTCCCATAGACATCCACACCCTAATCATCCACTTATAAATGTTACTTTACATGTCAAAGGGAATTTAACAGATGTGATTATGTTAAGGATCTTGAGAAGGAGAGATTAACCTGGATTGTCCGAGGGGGCCCAATGTAATCACAGAGAAAGGCAGTGAGAGCGAGAGAAGGCAATGTAACAGAAGCAGAAATTGGGGAGGGAGGGAGAGAGGGATATAGAAAGAGATTGGAAGATGCTACACTGCTGGCTTTGAAGATGGAAGAAGAGGCCGCGAGCCACGTGATGTTGGCAGCCTCTTAAGCTAGAAAAGGATTCTACCCTCAGAACCTCTAGAAGGAACCAGCCCAGCTAACACCTTCATTTTAGCTCAGTCGGAATGATTTTGGACTTCTGATCTCCAGAACTGTAAAATTATAAATTTAAGCCACTAAGTCTGTGGTAGTTTGTTATAACAGCAATAGGAAATGAATACACAAACCTCTGGAAGACAATATGATAAATGATTTGTTAGAATGGTGTCTTACTCAGGCCCCTATACCGTATACTGAATGGTTTAAAAAGCAAACATTTATTTCTCTCAGTTCTGGAGGCTGGAAGTCTGAGGTCAGGGTCAGGTTCTTGGTGAGACTGTTCTTCCTGGTTATGGCTTCATATGGTCTTTCTCAGTGTGTGCACAGCTCTGGTGTGGGATTGTTTAATCTGCCTGGGTAGTAAAAAAATTGAACCGCACCCAAAGAGAGATCTGGCCTTTACCCTCAGCATCTGGATAGTAATCTCTAAGCCCTTGCAATGTCATGCCAGATAGGAGTATCTTTATTTAGGGTGAGGGCCGGCCACACTGGATAAACTAACAATGTGATTTTAGGGTGGGGGTTTTGAGTCACACAGTAACAGCTGGAGGGGCTGGAGGCTGATATCAGCTATGTGGACAGTTGACTTCAGAGCCCCAACAAATCTCTAGACACTGAGACTCCGGTGAGCCTCCCTGGCTGGCAATATCTCATTTGTATTGTAGCGCATCATGGCTGGAGTTCATGCTGTCTGTGACTCCACTGGGAGAGGACAGCTGGAAGCTCCATGTTTGGAACCCTCCAGGGCTCTGCTCCATGCATCGCATCTCTTGGCTGATTTTAATCTGCCCTCTTTTCTTGTAATAAACTATAACCGTGAGTGTAACAACCCTCAGTGAGTTCTGCGAGTTCTGCCAGTGAATTATCAAATTAAGGTGGTTATAGAGACCCCCAAACTTGCAGTTGGGGTTAACAGTGGGGGTGGTCTTATGGACTGCACTCCCTCTGATACTGCACTGCCCCAAAGCCACCCCACCATCCCGCCACACACACACACACACACACACACACACACTCATCCTGATTTCTCCTGGCTGACTGAGGTCTGCTGTCACACTAGGCATCTGCCATGGCAGAGACCACACGGTCTGCTCATTCTCATCCTCCGAAGGCCCCTTCCCGAAGCTGGAGAGTAGCTGCTTCCTCACTGGCTCCACCGCCAGCACCTCCTCCTCTGTCCTGGCTAGTGGGAAGGACTTTCTTTCTGATGTAGGCAGTGACAGGTAGACAGAACAAATCAGCAGCCCAGGCTGGCTATTGAGCCCAAGGGTCCATGCCATTGTCCTGACCCCAGCTTCTCATACCACTCCCCCCACCCCCACCACGACCTACTATGGAGGAGAGATTGAGGGAGGGGAGCTGACCACCAGGGTTTTCTCTGGAAATTCCATAGCTTTCCTACAGCTTGTTTGGTCCCTCCTCCCTCTAACACCCACCATCTCTCCCAGCTGCCCAGGTGGAGACTGTGGAGCTACAGACACAGCCCTAGATGCCAGCGTCAGCACAGCCCAAGGAGGCAGCAGCCTCAGCTGCCTCTCAAAGTTCAGAAGTTTCAGGTTAAAATCTAAACTTAGCACCCCTGCTGCCCTGAGATTACAAAACAGGTTCTTCCACCACTCTTATGTAAGAGGATTAGGCCCTTTATCCCTCCTTTACGCTTCCCAGCTCCTCCTCACCCCTGGGAAAGTGCTCTCTTCCCCTCCACTGTGCCAAAGGCTCCCCCACATCAGGGACCCCACCCCTTCTCTCCCTGTGCCACAAACGCAAACCTCATAATTCCATACACAGTAAACCTGAAGAAGGAGAGAACCCGGTTTGCTTCCTCCCTGCCTGGCGTTTGAGCATGGTCCTGCCCCACCACAGCGGATCGGACCACATGGCCTTCCCATGATCCTGAGCATCGGGCTCCCCAAAAAGTAAGGAAACATGCCTATTTTCCAGGGATTATAGAACAGTCTGCTTGTTTACAAGGTCCTCTGAGGGAAATAAATAAATAAAGCTACCAAGGTCTTAAGAATCACAAGGTGGTCTAAAGTTAAAACCAGCTCAAGAAAACCCAAACTTAGAACCCAGAATGGCAAGGCGATGTTTCTCAAAACGTGGTGCACATGGGAATCCCTGGAGGGCTGGGGGGCTGTACAGGCAGTGGGGCCTCGCCCCTCAAGGTTCTCCACTAATATTTCTAGGGTGGGGTCATCACCTGCATTTTTCACAGGGAGCAGGCTCAGAGAAATCCCATTACTTTACATAAAACCTCACAGAAAGAAATTCAGAGCTTGGCTGCTCTGAACACCAGCTCCTTGAGGGATTGGAGAAAATCAATTCATTCAGAAGATTTTATTTACGCCCCTCTTCTCCAAGATCTAGCGTCTCCTGTGTATCGATGAGGCATAAGTCAATGGGAGGAGGCCTCACTTGTGGCCCTTCATCCTGTCCTTCCCACTCAGAGTTCATTCATTCAGCCAATATCCATTGCAGATGGCTAATTTCCAGACACTGCACTCAGAGCTGGGGATATAATATAATGATGGGTGGAAACAGATACCATCCCTTCTCTGTGGAGCAGACAGGCTTTGTTCAAATCATCACACAAATAAACATGGAATGATGAGCTTTGATAAGTGCTATGGAAGAAAGTTTCTTAGAAACATTGATTCATTCAACAAATATGTATTGAGCTCCTACCATGGGCCAAGCACTCTTCTAGGTGTTGGGAACTCAGGAGTGAGCTAAACAGACACAGTCCCTCTCTTCTCGGTGCTCACTGTCCCATGGACAAGACTGACAGCAGATAAATATGGACTATGATGTCAAGTGCTGCTAAGTGTCCTGTAGAAAATTAAAGCAGGGTTGGGGTAGAGAGCAATGGTGGGGGGCAGTCAGGGAAGGCTTCTCCAAGGAGGTTACTTCTGAGCAGAAATGAATGAGGTGAACCAAGTGAGCAAGTGGATATTTAATGGAGGATCTGACCACAGGGAGGTGGGCATGGAAGGTCATTTGCAAAGATGGTGACCGATTCCTCCCATCCACTCCTCTCATCAAGAGGTGGAGTCTACTTCTTTTTCTGTTAGAACTGAGCTGGCCTGGGGCTTCCTCTGACCAGCAGGATGTGGTGAAAGAGATACCATGCCAATTGTGGGCCTAGACCTTAGAAGCCAGGTAGCTTCCATTCGCTATCTTCTGTAGCCCCAATCCCCCCCACCCCGCATAAGAGGTTCAACTACCCTTCTGGAGGGAGAGGCCCCACTGCCTCCCCACCCTCACCCCTACCCCCAGCCAGCTTAGGTACCAGATATGTGCATGTAGCCATCTAGAACATTCCGGCCCTGGCTCTCAGCTGAATGTGGCCACAACTGTGAGCCCAGGCAACAGCACATGGTACAGAAGAACCATCCAGCTGAGCCGTTATGCTGGCCCAGGCTTGGGAGGTAGGACAGCTCAGCCCATGGTGAGAGCAGCCACGGAGGTGGGGAGAGTGGGTGAGACAGATTGAGTGTGAGGTATAGAACCTGCAGGGCTCAGTGATGGAGAAGATATTTCTGGCTACATAACCAAGGGCTGGCGCTGTCCCCACTGAGCTGGGAGCACTGAGGAGTGGCAGGTGTCAGGAAAGATGGCGAGTCTGGGTCTGACCTTTGGAAGTGCTAACCTTCTGCCTTCTCCTCCAAGCCCAGCCTGGGGGAGATGGTTGCCTCTGGGATCCCCACCAGGCTGGCCAAGGGGAGTGGTTGGGGAGCGAGAAGCTGGGCATTGCTCCAGTCTCAGGGTCCCTGTTCCGACACACACCCTTGAGGGCCAAGCCCCAAATCAGAGGGCATCTGAGGAAGAGAGGTCATGGCGTCTGTAGGAAAAAGGGAAAGGGAAATACAGTTGACCTGATTTTTCTCAACTAGTAGTAGTACATCATTAAACATTGGACCAAAATGATAGAAAGATATCCCCTTCCCGCTGACTCTCTTGGTTGCTGCACACCCTGGATGGCCTTGTTTGGTACTTCCCTGGCCCGGTCCATGGGAGAGGCCCTTACCAACAGCCCAACTGCAGCCTGCCTGCTAGGAAAGTTGCTTCACTGGGGCCCAGGGCCCATTGGGCCATGGGTGCACTTCCACCTTTCACCAACAAGTGGCAGCACACTCTGTGCCTGTCACCCAGAAACACTGAATAATGAATTCTCAAGAGAGCTTCTGCTGGTGACAGGCATCAGTCTCCCTCATTTACATCCCCAGCTCAACTTCCTGCAAAGCCTTCAGGCCCACTAAGGTACTGGGCTGATTTTCTGATTCAACCCTAGGGCAACCCCCAGGTGGCATGTGGTAACTTCTGGAGATATTTTTAATTGTGACTACAGGGAAGGATGTGCTTCTGGCAAATACTGGATAGAGGGCAGAAATGCTGCTAAACATCTTACTGAGGGCAGCTCCTGCAAAAAAAATTATCTAGCCCAAAAGATCAACAGTGCTGAGGTTGAGAAATGCTGATTTAATCAGATTCTCAAGAGTCGATGGCCTGTGAAGTTCTAGACATCACCAGGTCAGGGGCCAGAGGACTAGGCTGATCCCTGACCTCCCCCTGACCCCGCCACTAGCCATGAGAGGCCTCCCAGTGTCTCCTTCACCTGCAGCATCTCTGTCATCCTTCCCTCAGACTTAACCTCATTCATGCCTCAACAGTTCCTGAGCGGCAAGCATGTCTCGACCCGAGAGAGACACAGAGGACAAAAGCAGACGCTGTCCCTGCCTTTGTTCACAGAGCTCAGAGGGAGAGACAGCAACGTATTTGCAAACGTGACAAGTGCCACGGGAGCCAAACGAGGTGCTAAGATGCCAAATAATACAGAAGGGACCAACTTTAACCAAGAAGATTGGAAAGACCTCTGAAGAGGTAAGAGTTGAGGTAAGTAAGGTCTAAAGGAGGAATGACACCTTTATAGAGAAGACAATGTAACCAACAGTAACATGCATTTTTTTAAATTACTCACAATCCTCTCCCCACCCACACACCATCACTACAACTCTGCTCTTTTTTGTATAATAAATCCATCTCCAGATCTGGTCCATGTGTTGTTACAGCATTTCAACCATCTCTCAGGTAAGTTTTTTCTCCCATGTTCATGTTACTACGTAGTTTGGTGATCATTTGTAACAAGGTCCAATGTTTCAGTGTCGCGAGGATTATCTAAAATGGTTCCTCAATTGTTCATTTCTATGTGAAAAGGAACATCCACGTAATCTAATAGAGCTCCAGGAATTATACTCAGCACACCAGTTTCTCTGGCCTGGAGTTGCCCTCCCCTCTTCCCTCCTCTGAGTGTACTGAGATGGGTGAGATGACCACCATCTCATGGTGGGGAGGGATCTTGAGGCCTGGAAATCTGCTGGGCAAACCTGACTGCACATCGGGGAGCATCAGGGAACCTCGGTAAAGTATAGATTCTGGGGCCCCGCCCCTTTGCCCAATCAGCGTCTCGGGTGTAAGCCAACATGGAGAGTTTAGAATAGGTCCACTAATTCTTTCCCAATCCTCCCTTCAAAAGCTGGATCCTGACTCCCCTCCTCTTGACTGTGGACCAGAGGATTCAGCGACTTGCTTTTAATGAAAAATACACCAGAAGTGATGCCATGTAAATTTCAAGGCAGGTCAGCACAGCAGTGTGGCATCGGCCCTGCTCTCCCGTGGGTCACTCACTCTGGGGGAAGCTGGCAGCCAGGTCATAAGGACACGAGAGCATCCCTGGAAGAGGCCTCGTCGGGAGGAACAGAGTCATCCTGCCAGCAACTGTTTCGTTTGTCTAGAACAGTCCCAGTTTTCACACTGAAAGTCCTGCATTCCAGAAAACCTCTGAGTCCTGGGCAAATGGAGATGACTGGTCACTCCGTCAGGCAGCACCCACTTTCCAGCCATGTAAATGAGCCACCTGCCAGCCAGTGCTCCTGCCCCAGCTGAGCCCCCAGGTCATCGCAGCCTGAGCCAACAGTCCACTGCAAATTCGTGAGAGGCTTTGAGCCTAATAACACGACGGAGTCGCTCTTGGACTCCTGGCCTACAGAAAGTTTGTGAGATAATAAAGGCTGATTGCTTTAAGCCTCTGTGTTTCGGGATAACTTACTATGCAGTAATAAATAATACACTCGGAACCCTGTAGTTCATCACACTCTTGGGTGGTTTGGTCTATGAATCGGCATTTGTGGACCATGGCTCTGGTCTTATTCCCAAAAGCAGCACTTTCCAAAAGAATTGTCCTCAACGGAAGAACGGTTGTGTAGTCATGCTGCCCAGGGTGGGCTGTCACTAGTCAGATGTGGCTACTGAACAAGTGTGGCTGGGACGACGGAGGAACTCAACTTTTTGGTTTAATTTGAATGAATGCAACTTCAAATTTAAATAGTGCACATGTATGATTCTATTTATACAACATTCTCAAAATGATAGAATTATGAAAAAGGAAAGCAGTTAGAGGTTACCAGAGGTCAGAGACAATGGGGGTGAGGTGGAGGGGTGCGACCGTGAGAGGGCAGCATGTGAGATCTTTGTGGTGATGCGATAGTTCTGTATCTTGATTGTGGTGGTGGTTACACAAATCTACACAACCAAGAAAATGGCATAGCGCCGTACACATCAAGTATACCGACATCAATTTCCTGGTTTTGATATTGTGCTACGGTAATGTAAAATGTCATCATTGGAGGAAGCTGGGTGAGGGGTACATGAAACCTCTCTGTACTATTTTCATTACTTCCTATAAATCTATCATCATTTCAAATTAAAAGTCTTTTAAAGTTTTTTAAATATGAAATACGTATAAAGCATCAAATAGCACATGTGCCTAGTGCCGACCATGTTGGACGGTGAGACCCTAAACATTACTCAGATCCTCCTGCGAGAAATTCTGGCCACTTAGAGTTTGTTCAGAACTTCTCGTGATGGGGAACTCACTGCTTTACGAGGTTCTGCTTAACAGCTCTACCAATAAGAAAGCTCGGACAAAGAGCTTTCAGGATAGAAAAGTTCTTCCCTCAGTTCTCCATCTGTGCTAAACTCATGAAAGAGACCCAACAAGAAAAGTGCTCCAGCCAGAGCTTCCATTACAATCACTTGTCACTCACGAGACAAAGTGCCAAGGCCTCACGCCTTGCCCTCACCCGTGACCTCCCTGTGCAGGGATAGAGTCAGCTTTAGATGCAACTACTTGCTGACCATTCCAGCTGATCAAGAGAGAACTGAACCACAGGCATTAGAGACGGGGGGATCATAAAGAACACTTGGTTTTATCCCTGCTTTTTATAGATGCGAAAACAAAGACTTGGAGTAAATCTACAGGGATTAAATTAATGTAGTTTTGAAAAGCATGCATTGCTTGCGATAAACCGAATAATGCCCCCGCCCTCCAAGATACCCAGGTCCTAATCTCTGGAATCTGTGGATGTGAACTTACATGGCAAAAAGGATTTTGCAGATGCGATTAAATTAAGGATCTTGAGATGGGTAGATTATCCTGGATTATCCAGATGGATCACCAGTACTCTTAGAAAGAGAGAGACAGGAAGAGGGTGATTCTATACAAAAGAAGGCAATCTGACGACAGAAGGAAGGTGCTACATTGCTGGCTTTGAAGATGAAGAAAGAGGCCATGAGCCAAAGGACATCGCTCTAGAAGCTGGAAAAGGCAAGGAAACAGATTCTCTCCTAGAGCCTTGGGAGAACATGGCCCTGACAAGACCTTGGATCAGGCCCAGTGAAACCATTTCAGACTTCTGGCTTCCAGAAGTGTAAGACAAATTTGAGCTATTTTGAATCTCCCAACTTGTAGAAATTTGTTGCTACAGCCTTAGAAAATTAATATATTACCTGACAAAACTACTTCTGTACTTACCTTTTGACCCATTTCTAGGAATGTGCTCTGAAGATATAACTCCAACAATACAAAATACACATACACAAGGTTATTCGTTGAAGAATTGTTTGTAATTGCAAAGTACTGGAAACCACCCAAATGCACAAGCATAGGAGAGTGGCCGAATAAACTATGGCATGACCACATAATGGAGTAATATGCAGCTGTGAATAAAAATGAGGAAGCTGACAAATTGATTCTCAAGAGATATTAACTGAAAAAAAATGCAAAGGATTATCTATGGTATGCTACTTTTCATGTAAGAAAGAAGGAGATTTAAGAAAATATACATGTATCTGCTTATTGTGCAGGAGAAACTATTAATTAATAAGATTGGTTTCCTAGACGAGAGGGTAGGGCAGTAAGAAAGGGGAAGGGGGATGGGTAGATGTAATGATGGGGGCGTGCCTCTTCTCTGAGTGTATCTTTTTGTATAGTTCTGAGTCTTAAAATTATGGTAATATTTCCCATACTTAAAAAATTTAATTAAAATCAACTAAGAGGTAAGGGAGCCCCAAATGAAATAAAAATAGCAACCATATTAAAAATAAACAAGAATCAGTTACACCAAAGAAGTGGGGAAGAAAAGAGCTCATCTAAGTAACTTTGAAAAACACTATTTTCTTATCCATGGTAAGACTAAAAACAAAAAACTATACACATATACTTTAGTTAGTAACTTTGTTCTTCAGAAGAGTATGAGTTAGCAATTCAAAAACTACTTTATGTACGGACTGAATAGTGTCCCCCCCAAAAATATGTCCAAGTCCTAACCCTATGAATGTAACCTTATTGGAAGTGGGGTCTTCACAGGTGTAATTAAGTTAAAGATCTCAAGACGAGAGTGGGCCCTAAATCCAATGGCTGGTGTCCTTACAAGGGAAAGGAAGGGGAGATTTGATACACAGAGACACATGCAGGGAAGGAGGCCATGTGGAACAGAGGCAGATACCGGAGTTACACAGGCATAAACTAAGGAACACTAAGGGTTGCCAGCAGCCACCAGAAGCCAGAGGATCGGCATGAAGTGGATTCTCCCTCAGAGCCTCCAGAAGGAACCAGCTGTGCTGGCACCTTGATTGTGGACTACTGGTCTCTGAAACCGTGAGAAAATAAAATTCTGTTGTTTTTAGCTATCCAGATTGTGGCAATTTGTTGTGGTAGCTTTGGAAAACTAATATAACGTGTATATTGGGATTGAGCGAATAAGTAAGTATTTGTGGATAATGAGGGTCAGTTTTCATACAAGGAAGAGTTACATATAAGGAAAGGGGGAAAAATAAACCATGTAGTATTGAATTGTGATCAAAGGTATCAGTATAAATTCATGATTTTTTAAGAGATTGTGATGTCTCTATCCACAGGTATTTCCTAGCTCTTTCCACTAGAGGGCGCAGAAGCGGTGATGTAGTAACAATGAGCCCACCGAGTACTCAGAACTCGATACTCAGCACCATGCTCCAAAAGAGGGAACCAGGGCTCCTTGGAGAAATGGCTGGCCCCAGGGCTGAGGCAGGGACAGTACAAGATGAACCTGGTATATCTGTGGTTCCAGAAATTACATAGTTGCTGGGAAAAATTTTTTTCAATAGGTGCTCCCTGGAGCCAGCCTGAAAGAGCTTTCAGTTACCAAACCTGGGACAATTTGCACAACAAAATAAATCATATTATTTTGATAATATGGTTATAAGTGATAGTGACATTAGAGTAAGCAGAGTGAAAGTGTATCTGAACTCTCAGTAGTATTTGTACAATTAAAATTACTTCAAAATAAGACTTCTTTTTAAGAGTATTTATTAGATCACATCTACATGTCAGGGAGTATGTCAGAGACATGCTAGATATGGCCTCTATCTTCAAGGAGTTACAGTAAATGGGGTTCACGAACAAGAAAACGAACACTTAAATGATACATTTCAAATAGTGAAAAATATAAGGGAGAACACAAAACAGGAAAAAGAATCAGGCAAGGTCAGGAAAGTCCTCTCTAACGATAGAACTGGGGCCTGAAAGAACTCAGAGAGCAAATCATGTAAATATCTGGGGGGAAAGTGGTCCCGGTGGAGCAAACAGCAAGTGCAAAGGCCTTGAGGTGGAAATGACCTTGACATGTTTGAGAAGCACCAGAAAGTCAAGTGTGGTTGGAGTGAAGCCAGTGAGGCTGGAGTGGTGGGAGAGGCAATTGGAAGGAAAGCAGGAGGAGCAGAGCCTACAGGGTTTTGCCTGCCGCAAAAACAGAGACTTTATTTCTTGTCCAAATGCCAACGACTCCTCCTTCCCCTCCCTCCCCATCAAACTTCACTCACAATGGGAATATGTGTGGGACAGCATGGGGGCAGATGCTTGTGAGTTCAAAATAACTACAGTGTTGTTTTGCGAACATGAAAAGATCTTTGAAACGATGACTCAATTCTCCCAAGCCCTTTCTTAATTCAAATTGCTATAAAGCCTTCATATGTAAAATGTTCTGGAATGTTCTGTGAGCTTTTGCCTGGTTCAGACACATCCTTCACCAGTTTAGCCCTTTCACCCTTTGCTAATTAGCCCCTGACAATTAAAGTAGTTCTGCTTGGTGTCAATAAGTTGCAAAGCTTCCTTGGACACCAACACCTTGGGAGAGAGAGTCAATTAACAGCCCTCCCTCCAGGTAATGCAAGGTGTATCTATGTTGACGCTTGGATATTATCACCGACATAAGACAAAATGAGCAAATGCCCATAGAAAACCTGCGGACCCCAATGAACTGTCCACAGACACTAATGAAAAGGCCCAATCGCATTTCCAACATTCTCCATTTCCGTGGTCATGACTCGCTGATCTGCATGCCTCTGAATTTGCAGAGCACTGGAGCCAGTCCACATAAGGGAAGTGAAGCGTGTTCTTCAGGAAGACGCCAGGAATTCCTCCTCCCCACCCCACCCACCCTTCCTTGTTTGTAGGCAGAGGACCAGGGAACCAACCCACTGGTGCTACAGTGATTTGCAACCCTGGCTTCACATTGGTATCATCTAAAAGAGCTCTGAAACACAATGACATCGGGCCCCACCCCAGAGATGATGACTTAATCAGCCAGGGACAGCCCCCAGATATCTGTATTTTGAAAAGCTCCCTCCGGCGATGCTACTGTGCAACCAGGGCAGAGAACCCACTGCGGCCACATGGAAACCCAGTTGCTATTAGAGAATTAGCC